AAGATTTACTTAGTCTTTTCCTGTACATACAGTAATGATTATTTTTATTATGCACTGTCCAGGACGCCCATAGGACAAGCATACTGATTTTTGTGAGACTAAGAGTTGTGCATGTATGTATTACTTTCACTACTAGGAACATGAAGGACTAGGTTTGCAATACGGTATCTTTGCAGCTAGTAATTTTGTCCACTGATTTCCACAAAAGCTTCAGGTGTGTTTAGAACATGATAATTAAATAGTTTATGAAAAATTCCTAGATCTTTATTTAAAGTCTCTATCAACTATATTTGTCTTGGTCTAGTATTTTCACTAAATACATGGCCACCATCTGTTCTCTACATATACCATTTAAATAAAATCAATTATGAACGTGTTGTATATTGTTAACAACTTGAATAAACTTTGGTGTTTTTTCCTCTATAGTTCACTTTCCAGCGTGCTTTAAAACATTTTGGTCATTGAACAAGGCTCTAGTTAGCTGGAAAGAGGTCTCCCTGTTCCCACACCCTTGAAGCCTGGTAGGCTGCTGCTGGCCTGCAGGTATCTTCATTGCTAGGTAGATCATGTTTCTGCTGCAGCCAGCGATGATGGTTTTCTGTAGCACGGGCTTTCTGTTCTCTGCCGGTGGCAGAGCTACGTGCCGCAGGTTGTAATCTGTGCTGCTGCTTTCAGAGGGAGGTGCAGGATCACGTTCAGATGGACGGAGGTTAACCTCTGTCATGAGATCCTGGATGAAGCTTTCAGGGTCCGCAGACAAATTGTTGTTTATGAAATTTAATTAAAAATCATTTCAGTGGTCAAAGTAGTATCAAAGTGAATGTGTGTGTTGTAATCGTATTACCCTTTGCTCTTCCTCCTGAAGTCCTTATTAGTTTTTGCTATTTGTTCTTGGGCTTTTTACTAATCATGATGTAATGTTTTCCAGTACTGGATACACGCGGAGGCCAGCGTTTGGCACTGCAGCAGTGAGTAACAGCTTGCATATACACTAACGCACAGTATGGTTAATTAGTGTTGAGTCTGAAACGAAGGACTGACACTTTCTAAGCATGGTGGCCTAGACTTTGTTCTCATTCACTGAAACAGTAAATTTGAGCAGCTCAGCTAAAATCTGAACCAGCTGAGGTACTTCAGATTTAAAAAGGCAGCTGGAGGCTGAACATACATGTGTTCTGATGAGTTGCAGAAATTTTATGTCTCAACACCTAATCCTTTCCTCTCCTACAGAAAATGAGAGAAATTATATGAAAGTGTTTTGGATCTGATGCTTTCCTATCAGACTAGACAAGAATTTATTACAGCTTTAAGAACCTCTAAAAATAATATATTGCACACAGAGGCACCTTCGTCCTCTTTCTGTGAATCGCTGAGACGGTCACGTCTGCTTGCCTGTCCTTGGAACAAAGTCTGCGCCTCTTTTCCTGATTCTGACTTTGCTGAAAGGCTCTTTAGTCTTGAAGCAAATATACGGTGTTCTCCTTCATAAGAGTAGTTATTTCCAGGGAATGTAAAGCAAAGAGTTTTTCCCAGCTCCTAGAAATTAATTTTACTCGTACTTGACAGTTAAAGTAACTCCATTTTCCCAGTAAGAACAGCCTTACTGTATATTGAGAGTAGAGAATTGCATTATTCATTTGAAAGATGTTTCGAGAATGTCGTTAGGCTCTTCTGTGTAGTGGCAGTCCTGTACAGAAATAAAGTAGCCTACTTTGCTGGAGATTTATTAGTACCAGTGTCTTCAGCAGCTTCTCTTCTTTCAGCACTCTTTGTTTTTCATAGTCTCTGCTGATCCAGAAACAGCACTTGTTCTGTGGGATCTCGGTGTGCTGCTGATAAAATCGACTCCGAGAAGGGTTAGGCGGTGTTTTCCCATCTATTACAATGAGTAAACTGAGTCAGAGCGGCTTTAATTTTCCTGAAGCCACGTAGCAACTTAGTGTTATAATTAACAGTCTGATTCAGCAGCGTGTACTATTCAGTTCAGTTTCCATGGTGCCTGAGGCCTTGAGAAGCCAATAATTCAGGCACGTTTAGGAAAGGAATGAGAACTGAGGCTAAGTCGTGAGGAATTTCATGTGCCCATGGGCAGGACTGAAAATGCCTTGCTCTCGTTTTACCCTTTATTAACATTTTACAAGAACATTCAAGATAATCTGAATAATTACAGTGGAGGTGATGGGACTGTTTTACATGCTGTTCCACTCTGATAAAAACCTTCAGAAAAAACATACTCCGGTTTCTGCTTTGCTTCTTGCTGTGCTTAGTGACGAAGGGTTTAATGTTTGAATGATACGAGGTTGTAGAGTTTGTACGAAACAGAAGAAGTGATTGATGTTGGTGACTTATCTATAAAATAGTCAATTTCTCAGGGATACAGGATTTGCGATCTGAGAAATATAAAAATTGGCGTCTTCCAGCTTCCCTAGGATAACATGGTAAGCACACAGGATTTGTGACACAGATGGACAAAGCACAGGCAACGTTGTGGAGGGGCGGCAGCAGATTAGTGCTAACACTGCGTGGCTCGCATCCGGGAAGGGCTGCGGACCACATGGTGCCAAAATAAAAACCGCATGAGCTTCCCTCTGCACTTCCCAGCTCTTCCCTGAGACATTTGGGGGCTCAGGATTTCAAATGGAGAAGGGCAGGCTGTTTGGCAAACGCAGTAGGGATGAAGCAGAAACTGTCTATGCCAGGTCTCGGGCAGAGCCGCAGCGTGCCGCCTGCGCTCTCTGGGATGTTGGACCAACGCATAGGTACTGTGTCTCTGCTCTCCTCCCGGTACGATGGCAGCGGGGGCTACCTGACACAGTACTGGAGTAGATTTTGTTAGTATTTGGGGGACTGAACCCGCTGGCGTCTGCAGGGGAGGACCTAGCACCGTGGGTGGACAGACTAGTTGAAACGAACTCTCTAGAACAGCTCACAATCACAAGCTGGGGTTTTTTTTGTTTTTTTTAATGCCTAATTAGGCTTAATGAGGCTGCACCAATTTCAAGATGAGCGCTCTTGAGACGAATTAAGGTGATTATTTATATAGTTCACAAAGCATGAATGGCGCTTGAGCTAGGCACAGGAACACGAAACACGGTCCCTGTCCTGCTGGCTTGCCACCTTCAGGCTGGGCATGTAGTTGGAAATGTCCACCTGCAAAGAGCTCTTTTAGCAAGAGCTGAGCATATAAATTTTTTCTGATCAATGCAGGATGTAACAGAGAGAGATAGGGGACGATGCCCAGGAGTTAGAAAGATGTGACTAACCGATTTGTTCTTATCTGAGACAGGTCAGCAGATTTTTCCAAGCAGGTATGCGGCCATAGCCAAACTGCTCACACCTACTGTGGTGTGGTCGTCGTGAGAGATCTGTTCCCTTATAATGGACACAACTGTGTAGTCTCGGTTCAGAGGGCAGCCAAGTTCTTTTAAAACAAAGATGGCTCCTCATTGGAAGCCAAATAAGCCTTTCAGATGGCTTTGACATAAGAACATGAGAAATGCCATCCCGGGTCACATCTATAGTGCCTTTACCTCAGCGCTGTCTCTAATGGTGGCACCAGCAAACCTCAGCGTTTTGGGAGGGTACACTAGTCTGGCAGCCAGTCCTCTCTGGTTCTCCTAGCACCCACCGTCATCCAACCAGGGATGCTGATATTTGCCTACTCCCTTTCATCTCTGGTTTGGACCTGTTGTCCATGAATTAGTCCAATTGCCTTTATACTATCTGATTTCATAATCTCTTGTGGCAACAAATCCCAGAAGCTCATTACCCACTTGGAAAAAGTACTTTCTTTTATCCATATTAAGCCAATCTCCTAATAATGTCAAGGAGTGTCCCCTAGTTCTGGTACTGAGGGATTTGGTAAGTACCAGTCCTGCTTTTGACAACTCCATGATTTTGTAAACCTCAATCATACCTCCCCACCATTAGCTTTCTTTTCTCCAAACTAGAGAGTCCCAGGGTTTGTAATATTTTCTTCCTAAGTAGTTTCTCCATCTCCTTGCAAGTTTTGGTTGTCCTTCTCTGTGCCTTTCCTAACTCCACTATATCCACCTTGAGATAAGGTGGTCATTGTCAGGTACCTTCTAAGTACGATATTAGGATTCTGGAAGTCCATTCTTAATTCCAGTGTAATATTGTATCTGAAGTGAGAACAGCTAGATAGAAGATCAGCTAACAGATAATGCTCTCATGTGGACTATATGGCTGAAGTACAAAGACACTCCATTTCTACAACATGGCAATCTTAAACATTTCTGTACTTATTTTTTTATTTGAGCGTCCCACACTCCAGTGCATCACACCAGGTATCTAACATCTGCAAAGGCTGGGAGCCAGTACAAACCTGGTGGAGATACGAATGCCTTCTCATGACTGCCATAAGCAAGGAAAACTCTCTGGCAGTGGCAGGGTAACAGGGACTGTTCCAGTACCTTCGGGCTCTAGGGACTCTGTATGGTACCATAATACTGTTCAATAGTAACACACAAAAGTTACAGCTGTTATGAAATGATGTCATGGGCTGGCATCTGCCTTCTTTGTTTAGAGATTATTACAAATAGATATATCATTGTTATTTTTCTGAAGTATAACATGAATAATCATTTTTAAATTGAAGCCAAAAATCCCAGCAACCCTGACTGAATTAACATATCGCCTGAGATATTCTCATCTGTAATTGCAGTCGTGTATCAGCTTTCCAGTAGATGAGCTGGCAGGTGGTCATGCTAACAGGACCTTTAGGTCCTGATAGGAAGAGTAAAGAGCTCTCTCGAACTTTTTGCGATTGCACAAGTCCCTTGAGTACTGTCGGGCTTTTACGTCTTTATTCCACAGTGAACGTATCTACTGGTCAGTGAAGAACATAAGGGAGGTGTAAAGGCTCTGAAGACCACAACCCTCCTGTAAATGATGCCACACACAGGGCTGAGCGAGCAAGAGATGTTAATTCAGATGACAGGAGTCTTACTAATCTTGTTTCTTTTGACTTTCCCAAATAGGGTCGAGACTGCAGTGTGCCCATTAATTCTTGCATTCAAAATCCATGTCAGAATGGAGGGACCTGCCACCTCACCGAGGCAAATAAAGATGGATTCAGGTAGTAACACAAAGTTCATTTAAAACAAGATGATAAAATAAGTGTGTTTCTACTTTGCATTAATGCAATCTAATGGCTACTTTATAAAAGCTGCTGCATGTGACAATTCTATTTGCCAGAAAAAACATTAATCTGGTTTCTTTGGTGACATACTGTTTCCTCTGAAACAGGCATCCTTATTTTCTCATAATGGGATGTACTCTCAGAGCTATTTTGAGCTGTCTCCCTGATCTGCTTTGTGTTATCTGTGTGCTAATTTTCCTTGGGGCATCTCAAAATCACATATACTCTTTTTTGTATTTGTAAAAGAGCATCTGTTGCTTGACAACCAGATGCAAAATGTTTTCATACTGAAGAATCTTGTAGACAAACAGGCTTTAAAGAAATCATTAAAAAAACGGAGAGACTGCCACATATTGGGCATAATGCCTGCAAGAGAATAACCTTTACAGCTGGACATTATGGTCTTCACTTTTCCTGTATAAGAAAGATGCAACATAGAGGGGGCAACTCCAAGAGAAGTCCAGAAATTTTCATGAGGTAACTGGAGAAATTTGTGTCACTGAAAGCACTACTTTTCAGGTAAGAAAATACAAGACTGAAGCTTTGACCACATAACATCATTAGAGTTGCTAAGTTTTCTTTTTTTTTTTTTTTTGAGAATAGTTACTGAAATTTGCATGTACTTGGACCTCAGTATTTGTGCTATTTCTTGCACAAAATACGTGCAAAATTACTCCCTGCTGTTGTTTCAACTGCATCTATGAAATCCTCACTTCTGAAAGCATTTATACATTACTCATGCTGCCTGCTTTGTCTCCTCCTATATATAGCTTCATATCAGTGACAGCTGGAGAGCGACACAGAATTGCAAGGTTTATAAATGGTGTAAGCAGGAGGCAAACCAGTACATTTTTTCAGTTGAATTCCAGTTTGGTTTCAGCTGTGACTAAGACCGTTCCAGCTGAGGTTAACTGTTTGCTAGCCACGTCAGCAAACCCACATCCATTTGTGGCAGAAAATAGAATTTCTTTAAATTAGAAAGTGCCAAGGGAAAGCTTGGGTGTTTGATAGGGCTTCAGGTGCAGCAGGAGATGAGCCCCCTGTCCTGCTCCCCTGCCAAAGTTTGAACACTTGTTGTATTGCCAGAAAAGCGTGGCGGCTTGTTTTTAGCTGCCCCAGTCAGTCTCCAAGACGCAGATGCATCGGTCGTGCTGGTGCGTTGCAGTTGGAGGGAAGGAGGACACTCCGCAGGCCATAGCAAGTGCAGGTGTTCGTGGTATTTGATGGCAGCCCGCTCGATTTTAGTACATGATTTTAGGCACAGCGCTACTATGTACCAGTGATCAGAAATTCTTCTTCTTGACTTGGGTCTCGACAGGCCCAACAGAGCATTTTTGGTCAAGAAAAATATTTGCCTGAAGTGGTTTTCAGGTTGGGTTCCCTTTGGTCACCCTCATGTCATACCGTTTGGATTGCTCTGGCCGGCTTGTGCCAAAGCCAAATTGCAATATAAAGTATGTTATCTGCTTTAGCCTATATTGTGTTGAATTACATAGGCCTTTTCTTGGTCAACAGCAGAAGCACTGACTGAACTTACCATAGTAGAATATGTATTTTCTGTCACTCAGTGCTCACTTGCAAAATCTATTGATATTAAAAAATGTGCTATTAAAACACTTGATTATGCCCATAATACCGGAATGACAACCTTCAGTTTGTACTTTGGATCAGGGTTTTGTTTCAGTGTTTTTGTTTTGTTCTGTGATATATATTAAAAAAAAAAAAAAAGCTTTAAATGACTTGAAATGAAAGCTACTTCTGCATTTTTCTTTTGAAAACATTTACGTTTTCAGGGTCTTTGCTTCAGTTCAGAATGAACCTAGTTTTTGAAATCCTTCACAGAACTTCACTGGTGGTTTTGTTGCTTAATAACATTTGAGGCTTTTTAGGAAAGATTTCTGCTTTTATAGTTATTTACATAGTTTCAGTTGGTCTAATAAAAGATGCAGCATAAAACTATATCTCATCAAAATCTTGCTTCATAAAATTGAATGCTCATCCTGTGCAGTGCTCTAGTCGTTCTTGCTCCCCTTTCTTCTAGTATAGTCAGCCCACTAAGGTGTCCTTCGCCCCAGCTGCTCTGGAGAACATATGCTACAGCAGCAGGTGGCTTTAGCATATCTTTACACATAGAAAATGTGGACTGGGGATGGAATAGGCTGTGAAGGAAGATAAAGAAACATTTTGAGATTGTTTTTGTTTTGAGGGAAATCTCCTCTCCAGTGGATGGCAGCAGTCACAGTTAACGTGCATATAAATTGTGTGCATCAAGATGGGAAAACGTTGCCTTAGATTATATGCTGCAAGGAAGTGAATGTCAAAAACATTTTCATGAGAGGCCTCCTTGAGTTTTTCTGTTGTGTGGCCTGTAAAAGAAATTATATCTTCTGTATATTCTCTTCCCTAGGGAAATATTCATACACAAACTCTGCTGCCAAACTTGTCAAATCTTTACTCTTGTAAAAAGGAAACTTAAGCCAAAGCTTTCTCCCTGTGAAATGCCAAGCACTTTAACTCTCAAATTTCTGTAGCCTTCGAAAAGAAAAATACCTTTTAAGTAATGCTAAGGTGGTGATGTTCCCCAGGCAAAGACAGGAAATTCATGGCTGTGACGGAGA